AACTTCAAGACAGCGAGAGAGAGCAAGCCTTTGAGAGGTAACAGGAAGGCTGAACCGAGTGCAGTCAACTTGCCCTGCTTTGTTTTTAAATGTTTGTAGCCATTTGACAATATGAAAGTTAACAAGAGGGTTTATATTTTCTATCTCAAACTTTAAAGAGATCTGAATATCAGTCCATTATTTTGTCATTTAGTTCAGATATTGTATAGATTCATTACACATAAAGTAAAATATTTAAAGCTTTTTCTTCTGTAATGGTGATGATTATCATAGTTCATGAAAAGTGAGACAATAAGATCAATAAAAAAAGAAAATATTATAAAATTTTGAAAACTATGGACTTGATCGGGACTCCTTTTACATGAATTTCTGAATGCGGCGGGCATGGAAGCGCTCAGTCAGCGGTTCTGCTGAGGTGTGACGGAAGAATGCTTTACGAATCGGTCTTCAAGTTATCAGGAATTGTCTCATGTTGTTTTTGACTCCATCGATTCTCTGTGGGGTTCAGTCCAGCAGACTTTGCTGGCTGACCCAGCCCAGGAACACCACAGTCCCTGAAGCAGCTTTTGCTTCCTTTGAAATGTGGGCAGGTGCCAAGTCCTGCTGGAAAATAAAAATCAACATCTCTGTATAGCTTGTAAGGCGAAGGAAGCATTAAGTGCTCTAAAGTTTCCCAGTAAATGGCTGCATCTGCTGTAGACTTGACAAAATCCAACATTTGCATCCCATGTGAGGGATTTGTCTATGCATAGTGGCTCTTGACAGGTGACTCCTGAGTCACAGGTGTTTTGAGTTGATTAGCTGATTGAGGTGCGACACCACAAATTTCTAATATTCAACTTTTCCACAATATTCAAGGACATTTGAGACACTGAAATTCTGGTTTTTATTCTCTGTAAGACATCAGAATTAGATGAAATGATTGACATGCGTCACTGCGTAATGAATCTATTTAATATTCGAGTTTCACCTTCAGACATGACTGACAAAAAAATTGTAACTTTTTCAAGATGTTCTGATCTTTGTCAAACACAAAGTTTCGCTTTAGCTTTTCAAGGGCACATTCGCTAAACAATGATATGAAATACTGACGAGTTTAAACAGCGGACTCTATAAAATGCTTTGTAAATATCTTACGGAGCAATTCGCAATAAATGCTCTGTAAATGTCTTAAAGAGGACTTGCTGTAAATTGCTCTGTACAATTGCATTCGAGGCGCCTCATGGCAGACAGGCAAGAAAAAACAAAATCTAACATTTTACACATTTTATGTTATAGTTCGTGAAGAGAAGTCAACACAGGGCAGGTCGACATTGTGGAAAACACAGAAGCCATCACGCTGCAAAGTTCCAATCAACATACTAGTGATTATTCGCAGTCAAATCGACGTTGGTACTCACTGGTGACCGTGTTGTTGGAAGCGGTGAGCGCCGTCAGTGTGTTCACATCCCAAAGGAAGATCTGCCGGTCCAGACCGGCCGACGCCACGAGCTCCTTGTCCTTTGCGTACGCTAAAGCTTTTACGTAGTCCTTGTGCGTCCGTAACGTCGACATACAAAATCCTTTATGAGCGTTCCATACTTTCACTGTGGTATCTGATGAGGCTGATATCACTAAAAGGAGAAAGACAAAAAAAAGAGCATCAGAATGAAGAAATAAAGCACTGAAAGCTACATACAGCACAGCTAGATGACTATTGGGTTAAAACTCACATGTTTTTCCATTGCAGCAAAGAACTATATCATTAACCCAGTCAGTGTGGTGCTCCATAGACGCAATATATGGGTCCTGCTGCAATGACAAAGAGCAGAAATTAGGACAGCTCCACGACTGACAACTAAACAGTGATTGTGTGCTCTGACAGGACTCCTGTGTGTGATCTGAAACTCTTACTTTTTGTTGGTAGACGCTCCATATTCGGATGATGGAGTCCCTCCCGGCGGTGAAGAGCCGGTTCAGAGCGGGGTCTAACTGGAGTGCGTTCACTCCGTTGCGATTGTACTTCTCCACCTCGTCTCTAATCACGTAGGAAACCTGGGACACAAACGAGACAGAGTGCTCTTTCCTCCTGCCCGGGAAACTTTCTGGTTCTGTCCACAACATCATCACACCCATTTCAAAGATACAGGTCAATGCGTGCGCAGATTTTTTTTTTTAAATTATTATTATTTTTCTTTGTAACATGGCAGGTCGGTTGACGCAAGAGCTCAATGCTTTTACACTTTGCAACACGTCGTCGCTGAAACCTGACATGTTGTTGCACGCGAAGCACACACCACAACCGCCGAGCTAAGTTCCAGCAATTAGACGGAGCCGGAGCCCCTTAATCGCTGTGAGAAATAAAGCGAGCACCAAAACGGCGTTGAGACAATGCGTCCAGCGTTTGTGCTGGCTTGCAAATGTGGCGACTCGCACTTTTTCTTCCGAGCATAGGTTTTTGTGAAGTATTTCGGAAAAAAGAGCTAGCATTCAGATGCACTGGTTAGCAGCTGACGCTAACCGCTCACGCAAGCTAAGCTAGCTCCGTTAGCCGGCTTGAGCCATGACTCACAGCCGCAGCGCTGCTCTTGGGAGTCGCTTTTCACCGATACCCGGACATTCCTAAAACACCTCCTTAAGGCGAGAGCCCTGACGTTGTCGCTGCCGCGCGGTCCGCAGACATGCACTTGGCAAAATGTACCTGTACTTTCCTCCGCCCAGCAGCATTTTGCCTGTGATGCGTGGCCATCTTGCATGTTGACAGTCAGTTCATGTGATGCTACATCCGGAAAAAAGAAAGAAAACACACACACGCCTGAGCTTTCTGGGTAATGTGGTTTGAACTTTGAACCCTGTTATCATTTTTACATTTTTTTTAATGAGTAGATCACCTACCAATTTGCTCGATAAGTAAGTGAAAATGAACTCAAAGCTTAGATTAAAATAATTGACTCTGGAGTCACAACACTGACGTTGTCAGATCAGTGCAGGGGCGGATCTACAAGGGGGGCAAAGGAGGGAAGAGAAGAAGAAGGAAAAGTTTGTTTTTTCTTGTTTTGTTTTTTTTTTTGTCCAGAAGCCTCTTGTAGCCATTAAATTAAATATTAATTCACAAAAAAAGTGTAATTATAAGATTGATCTTATGGGTCCCTGAAAAACTTAGTTATGACCATGCATCAAATAATGTCCCATTGAAAACATATATATATATATATATATATATATATATATATATATATATATATATATATATATAGACCTTGACAGCATAAAGTGAGTGCAAAATCATGGCCAGAATATTTTTCTACAAAGCAAATTCTTAAAAAGTAGAATGACATTGAATCTCTGGCTGATGTTTTGCTTTTGACAGCCACTCGAAACCTCACAAAATATGTTACATTTCATAAAACCTTAGCTCTTAGAAGCAAACCTGAATCCCGAAGTGTCCTGGGAATGCAAAATAGCCTATGTAACCGGATCCGATCTGCGTTGTGCTGGTTTTAAATGATCAGGCCGTGTTTCACCTTTAAAAGGGTTTATTCTGACAAGAATAACAGATAGAAAATAACCGTGTTACAGGCTGCCCGCACCAAGCCCTACATAAACAAAAGTACATAACAGAAATTAACTTAATAAATCTATAAATAAACTGGATGTATTTGGATACAAAATCAATAATACACACCTCTCCCACAGGACAACATGACAAAAGGGGAGGGTCTAAGGGACGCAAACATTTTAAAGACAATACCACAGAGGAAGAAACAAAAAGGGAGGAGCTTCCGTTCTTAAAGTAACACAGTTAAAACAATAACAGATTTTCAGTCAGGTAGGAACCCATACAAATAACCAAAGAAAGACATTTTGAGTAATTATAACAACAGATAAATTCAACCAGGTTACACCTACACCAGCAAAACCTCTCAAAATGAGGTTCTGGGATGCTTAAGTACTAAGGACATTTTAAAGAAGGTTAAATAAAGAGGTCTTTATTATTATATTATTATTATTATTATTATTATTATTATTATTATTATTATTATTATTTTGGCAGATGAAACAAAAGACACAATCAGTTTTTGTCCAGATTTGTGAATCCAGTGGATTCAACAACATTCACAAATTGAAAACTTTTACAAAATAGTTTTGTAAATGAGGGGGCAGTTTTCAGAATGATTTGTTTAGACCGATAAGAAAACAAAATCCATATAAAATTCCACAAACAGCCGGAGGTTTGTGGTTGTATAACGTGTAAAAGCTCAATGGCGCTTTTACAACACTCAGCGTCTGCCAGATGTTATCCAGGAGTGCGCCCGTCCCGTTACTGGCCACCAGGGGGAGTCCTATATCCTTTCAGCTTTACATGGACCAAAGTGTGTGAAACGGGGTAATCCAAAGCTTGAACACTTCACATCCTTTGAAACACACACACACACACACACACACACACACACACACACACACACACACACACACACACACACACACACACACACACACACACACACACACACACACACACACACGCAGTCTTGCTCTCCCCCAACGAAATTCGGTGTAAAATTCAGAGTGAGGGAATCTAACTCCCAATGAAGTTTGAGAAGGCGGTCAAGATGATGCGTGCGCCCCAGTATGTTGTTTCCAGGTCATAACAAACAGTTTCAATCAAAAGACAAATGTAATGCACGGGCTCGAGGGAAAAAAAGAGAAAAAAAATGAACATATGACGCATATTTTGTGACATGAGCCCACTAGTTTATATGAAAAACATCATACAGTGATTGGATTGGATTAGATGAGATTACATGAAAGCGGCCTATTGTGATTGTAGCAGGCTGATGTGCAACAATAACACCAACTCTTCAGCTCTGGCTGGTAAACTTCTGACTTCTCAGCATCCCGGCGAATCAACATTCCGTTCCCCCCCACCCCCCAACTTGTTGATGGGCTAATAAATCCCGCCAGCTCTCTTAGCCTACATCCCCGTTCCGTGTTTTAGTGCGGCACGATGCGCCCACAGGAGCAGTAATCCTCTTCTGTGCAGCTGCTTCCTCCCTCATGTTCTCTCTTCTGCTCAAGGGCAAATCGAGGTGCGCTTCTGGCTGCCGCCGCTGCGCACTGCTGCTGAAGACGGCGCAGCGTCCTCTGCGCTCTCCGCGGGCTCCCGGGACCTCTCGCCGTTTGCGATGAATGCAGAAGCCGCGCCGCGTGACAGGGGCCTGACCCGGCCCGGTTGCTCCTCGCACCTCTGGCAGCAAAGCGACATGTCGACGTTTGCTGGGACGAGCGTTTGTTGAACTTTGGATTCCGGGGGTCAACCGTCTCCGCTCGGGTCACTGGCAGTTTTCGGGTTGGAGAGGAGATTGCGCGCGTCGACGTGAAGACATGGATGTTACGCGGAGGGCTTTGGTCGCTCTTCCCGCTGAGACCCTCAGAATTTCACTGTGAAACGATGCTTTAAATCTCTGGAGTTTCGTATGTAAGTATTAGTCCATATCAAGATTAATATGTAGGCCTGGGAAAACGTCCTCTTAATGCCTAACACCTTTTGTTGTTGTTGTTACTGCTTTGCTTTATTCTTATTTACATTTATTTTCACTCATATTGAATCATAAAAACAAGTTGAAGCTACAGTTAAATGCATAAGGTCTGGTAACGCTCAAGGAATATTTAGTTAGTGTTTTGAAGTTGCTCTATGATGAGTGACCCGGCAGTATGAAGCTTGTCTCAAACAAAAGCTCCTTGCATCCATCTTGTTTACTCTTTGACTGTCAGGAAAAATGTTTGTTGTTTTGTTTTTTTCTCTTGACGAAAACAACTGCTTCTTTATCATTTTTAAAATTTAACAAGCGTCTTGATTCGTCAGCTCGTTCCTTCTGAAACTTGTGTACTTAAGCTGTCTGCAATTACATTAAAAGGGTTTCTGCCAGAGAAGTAGGTCATCGGTCCGGGGCAGCCCGGCTGAAAGAGTGAGGTCGAATCGCTCCTGGCAGTGAAAACTCACCGCAGGCTTACTTTGACGTTTTCTGAATTCACGAAGGAGGCTTCTGGATGGAGGCTGCTTGACCAGCACGAAAGAATCTTTGATATCAATAATGATAAACATTCACCAGACCTGAGAAATGCTCATGGAAACAAATTTTATTGCCATTTTTTTCCAGTTGTGTCACTGCAGTGCTTTGCCAAGGAGCTTCTTATGTTTTGTGTTCAACCATTGTCTCGTGAATCCATCACAAAGTGTCGCATCGTCGGGAAGTGGACAGAATAATGATTTTAGTGCGGCATAAATGTCTGGAAAGTGCCACTAATTGAGACGCCTAAATGAAGCCTGGAGCAATTACAACCTTCTGAAGTTGAAAGAATCTGTATCAAAAAGATCAACACTGCGGAGAGGTCAGAGGTGAAGTTATGGAAAGATGTTTTTTAAAGGGACAGTATTATGTTAAATCAACTTTTTGAGCTTTACCTTGTGTTATAATGTTATCCCCTCATCAAAACCGGAGTGCTGCTTTGATTACTCCATGCCTGTTTGAGAACTCTTTTAATCTCCCCCCGGCAAACATTCAGCTTTGCAGAACCCTTGAGTGGACCTTGCAACCGCCTTTGAGGATGAAGCTCCTCCTTCACAGCTTCCGCCTCACAGACGAGCCCTTGTCCACTCAGCTCCTTCAGACTAGCCAGCAGCAATTAGCAAACACATGGTGGAATTGAGGATTTCCAGAGCTCATTATATCAGCTACTTCTCAGTGCAACGCTGGTGAAAAAAAAAAAAATGTTGTGAAAGTTTTAAAAGAGGAGCGATGTTGTGATGACTTCCTGAAGGTGGAGTTTCAGCAGGAGTTTCTTAAACTGACAGAGGCCCAATTGCAATGCGTTAAATTACGAAGCCAAATGTCTTTTAAGTCATGTTTGGTAGATTCAACATTTCGTATAACAACTGAAAGTAACATAGTCACTGCAAAATAGCACAATGTAAAAACACACAACACAACTCATTTAAAGCAGAGTTTGAGTCTGAGGCAGTACTTCAAAGTTTGAACAACTTACTGAGCACATAATAGCAGACCTAGAAAAAGAGTAAAAGGCAGATGTGCAGACCTAATAAGACATGGCAAAGGAGCGCATTAATCAGAGAAGCAGGGCTAAATCTGCTGCAGAGATTTATCCATACCAGGGAGAAACTGCTGACATGACAAGAGTCCTGGATTGACAACCCGAAAGAGCGACAGAAAGAAAGTCATTGTTGAGAGAGCGCTGCAAGATAAAGTTCAAACCTCAGGCTGTCAGCTACGTGGTACAAAGCAAAGACGAGATCAAAACTAAAATGTAAGCTCATCAAATTTGACCAACCCTGCTCATCACCCTGAGCAAACTGTCCCTTGTTCAGTAGGGATAGAAACGCTTTTCAAAGGTAAAAACAGGACAACCCTGGAAGAAAACATGCTACAGGTGGATGAAGTCTTCATACCGGAACATTCAAACACAACAACCTCTAGCCAGAGCTACAACAGAGTGGTTTACGTCAATGCATACGCACACGTTGGAAAGGCCCAGTCAAAGGCCAGACCTGAATGCGATAGAGAATCTGGGATGAAACTTTAAAGTTGTTGCTTACAGACAGGCTTCTGAAAACAGTTGTTTCAGCGTCAATGTGGCAAATTGGAAAAGTTCAAGGGGTAAAAATCTCTTCCACTGCCTAAAATAATAATTTCTCATTGGTGATGAGTAATTGAAGCGCTTCGATGTGAGATGTGTGCCAAGGACAAAACACCAGTTTTTCTGTATAAAACATATGAGAAGTTAGGATTAGTTTTTTTTTTCTTTGACAAATCTCCTAGTGTATTCCTTCACTCTGATCTGGCATCATTGTTATCCTTTAATGCACGCTCTTGTGGAGCGAGTTCAAATGTTTGTGTTACACAATCGATCATGAAGGACCCGCAACCTGAAATCACCCACAGGGAACCTGACATGCTCCAAGTCTTTAGCCACTGGTGCTTGAGCTGGCAAAGTCTCGTTAACGCCGAAGGATTTCTCCAGTCGGTTTTAAGTCTGAAAAAATAGGACGGAGCGACAACTTAACAAAAAAACTGAGTTAATTTGCTTCATGTAATCAAATTACGTTTGTCAAACATACAACACGTACGTTTGCTTAACATGATAAGCTTAATGTATTTGCCTGGATAAACTTAGTTTGATTAAAAGTTGGATGACTTGGTTTACATTTTCAGTGTGTGTGATTTGAAAAGGAGGAGGATTATATTTCTACATGAATGCGAGGTTGGTTTTGACGACTGTTTCCCTCATCCTTCGTATTTACTCGGGTCTTCTTTATCTTAAGATAAATCAGATCATTTTGAACATTTGTTAGTTGAACTACTAACAAACAAAGAGAAGAAATCGGAAAAAGAGCCAATACTTTTCCAAAGCATCCAAACCTATTTTTTGTCTCTCAATACTTAATAAATAATATTTCCCTTCAGTCCAAGTAGCATTATTACAGATGTATCTACATAAATTGCATTTTGTGGTTCTGCAACCCACAAACAAGTGTTTATTATTATTATTATTATTATTATTATTATTATTATTATTATTATTAGGACAGACCAACACAAAGTTACACATTGTTGTGAAGTTAAATAAAAATTATATTTATTTGTGCAGATTTAAACCGGATAAATCAGGGTGAAGGTACAAAATGTTGTTTGGAGCTTTGAACCTTTCACAGATTTCACTTTTATCTCATAAAAGTAAAACTAGTGCAGTCTATACGTAAAACCTGAGTCACAGTGGAATAGTCAAAGTCTACAACCGAATCCATTTAGGAATCTTTAGCCTGTTTTGCTGAGATAAACAGGCAAACATTTTTGTCTCTATATGTACTTGCAAAGCTGCCAGACTTTTATCTTAAAAGATATGCAGCAGTTTCATTTAAAATCCCCCCTCCCCCCTCCAAAAAAAAAACACCTTGAAAAGTGACTCTAAGATGGAAAAAAAAAAAAGAACCAAATTAAAATCCATATTTCTTCTCACAAACGCCGTTCAGATTATGATCATTACATAGTGGCTACATAAGGAAATAGTAAGTTTTAGATTGTCCAGAAGGTCTTTGTTTCCATATTCAAAAAATATTTCTGAAAACTGAAACGTACTTTTTTCAAAATACAAAAACAACAAACATAAACGTGCATCAGGACTCTGACGCACGTTTATGTTATCTTGTGTCATCATCTTGTGTTATTTTGTCTTCAAATAGCCATAATCAGATTGATGATGCAGTAAAATAAACATTTGCTGCTTGGTTGAACGAAGCCAAGAAAGAACAAACTAGATAAAAGTGAAAAGAGAAACATTTGTCTGATGGAAGGAGTGATGGCGCAACATCAGGATTTTGAAAATGAGAGAAGCAGCGTTTTGGGTTTCTGAAAGATGTTTTTATTTGGACAAAGAATAGCAAATATGACTTTTTGAGCATTCAGACTAAGTACGTAATGATATATTCAGTGCAAGCTAGACAAATTTGAATATTTTGAAAATGTTCAATATTTTATATTGATGAATCACACACAGAAAGATCATAAGCCTGGGCCTTTTCTTCACATTTTGATGATTATGGCTTACCAATGGCCTCCTTTGGGGACGCCACTGCACAACGATGCCCTAACATCAATTTTAAAATGTTGATTCTCAGCTTTAACAGTCAAATAAAGCTGACTGCTGTTAAATTCCCGCCTTCAATAGTTACCGAATGCCCGGAAGAGTAAGTTAAAAGCAATCCGGTGTCGATGTAGACACCTCCAGACATTCACAAAGGTAACCGTTTACGCCGGAGACTGGAGGAAAATGAAACATCCAGATCTTTATATAACCACAAAATAATATTAATGTTAACGGCAGCAGCAGAGATCTTGTTTGTTTATCGAAGTACCTGAGCGGTGCGCCACTGCACAGCTGCGCGTCCGACCTGAGAGCAGCTCTGTGATTGGCCCAGCCGGCTGGAGGCAGAGGAAGGGGGCAGATGTCTTCTGCCAGAGACAGAAGACATCAACTCTCAGAGGGATTTCTAGCAGAAGAGTTCCTCTGCCTTGCCTCATCTTCAGCCTTCATGAGGCACAGGACTGTGATTTTATCGGATATAAGGAAAAAAAAAAGATCAAACAACAGCAACACATCATAATGATTAAAAAAACATCACACATGCAAACAGGTCAAGTTAAGTTCAAAACTGCACAAGAAATGGGGTGAGATGAACCTGAAGCTGACAGATTCATCTTCTACTCTTTGAGCTCACAGATGTTCATTTGTGGGAAAAAAGCAGTAAGAGTGCGTAAAGCCAAAGCACTCTGAGCAGCCTCGGAGCTACTGAGACCAACCAAACAGCCCAAATATAGTTTCAAATGCTATATTTGAAACTTTTGCACAAATTAAAATGAAATGAAACTGGAAAATAAATACCATTGCTGCAGCAGTTTTTAAAACAACATGACATTTATTTTTCCTGCCTCGGGTAAGCTTGTTGAAGTAATTGAACTACATACATAAATATAAATGAGCTTAATCATTTCTAGTCTTTTTTAAAAATTATTATTATTATTTTATATTTACTCATTTCCATGAAAGTAAATTTCACAAAAATCACAGTCGCGATATCATGATGTTAATTTCAATATTTGAGGAGCAAAGATAAGCAGACGTGTGTTTTGTGATGAATGAAACAATTGCTACAACTCTTGATTTCCCAGAAAAAGATGTCAAAGAGCGGAATGAAAAATAGAATAATGCAAAAGGTAAAAAAAAAAAAAAAAAGAAATAATAATAAATACATAAAAATACTTAAACTAAAAAGATAGCATTAAATAATGGTAGAGCGTATCTTCTATAAAATAGAAGGTTATCAAGGTGGTTTTGTCAAATTTGGTCACTAAAAATAAAATTGGATCGTCCAAATTTCAGGTAATTTACCCAACCTGATACCATAAACAAAATTGTTCAGTCTTGTGATTCTGAGTGAAATAAAAGGATTGAGTTGCACTCATAACTTCCTCGAACAGTTGCTCCTATCGTGTGCTCTGATCCACTTTGAATCTAATTATATTAATTATTCGAAGCGATGATGACCATATCACATCTGGCTGTTATGGGAATTAAATTTCACTCAACTAAAACACTGCTGAGTTTAATACTGTACACGTCCTCCTGCAAGTCAGCTGTGCGCTCTGGCAGGACTGCTCTCTGTGCATTTCAAAGTAGATTAATTATACACTTTAACTGTACGTTGCATAGATTGGATTCTAATAATGCGTCGCTTTACTTTTACGAAGCAAAAAACAAAACCCCCCCCTTCGGTCGTGACATGACGCCATACCACCACGACAGAGAAAACATTAGGTCGACGGTGTTTTATCGACTTGGTGACATCGAGAATGTGCGTCGCGACAGCAATGCCACTGCACGAGATGAGCCGGTCTGGTATCAACCTGGGCCAACTAAGCAGATCAGCGGAAGGCAGATAGCCGGCGTCTGGCTGAACGTGTGAAGGGATCAATGTGTTTCAGGAGAGAGCAGGAGATGGAAGACCTGGAGCTTAGGCCGCATGAAAAGGATACAATGGGTTTTTCTGTGTCAAACCGGGGAACACGGAAATGTAATCCTCTCTTTGGAAAGCTTTCCCAGTTATTAAAATATCACACTGTCCGTGGCTCAGATTCTGGAGCAAATTTGTAGTAGTGGAGAGCACTTTCATATTGTTTTTTTTTTTGTTTTTGTTTGTTTGTTTGTTTTTTTTTGTTTGTTTTTTTTTAGATTACATTGTGGCTTTTCCTCATAACCGTAAAACATCCAAGCTGTCTTAGAGCCAGAAACCTGGCTTCTCAGGACAACTGAACACATGTTCCACTTTCAGGAACAAGACGTGCAGATTTTAAGCTGTTGGGGCTGCACCGGTACCGTATTTTCTGGAGTATAAGTGGCTCCCGGGCATCACTCAAAAAATATGTCATTCATAAGTGGAAGTGGAGCAAAAGGTCACATTTATTTAGGAAATGTTGAACGAGAGAGAGACCGCGTTGGCGATTCGTTCCAGTTGCAGGTTGACCTGCTTTTTCAACTTTCACATTTCCCGTTGAGTATTTCGCCAGCAAAGAGAAGCGGAGACGCATGCGGTTTAAATCCGGGGTGATGGAGAGGCAGTTGCGTTGCATGAAGCCATAACATGAAAAAGGCAAACACATAAGGACATTTTTATTCATTTTTTTTCAGCAACTACAACTGTGTGGAGACGCAACTCTTGCCTCTTCCAGCATCCCATTCTATAGGGGCAGAATTATGTGTTTTTCGGGTAGTTAATGCTGCAATCAAATAACTATGTTAGAAAAATACTATGTTCCATTATTAGCCCTTAGCAACGTTTGCGCAGATGCGCAGTCCCACCGGGTGTTTGCTAATTGCTGCTGGCTAGTCTGAAGGAGCAGAATAGAGCAGGGGGGACTGTTCTGTGAGGCGGAAGCTTGGAAACTGCATCTCCTAGGACGAGCTGCACCTCGAAGGCGGCCCTCGGTCCACCCAGACGCTAAATGGTTGGCTATGGGAGAGTCAAGGATTTCTCGGACACACATGAAAGAATCAAGGCGACACTCCAGGTCTGTTTTTGATGAGGGAATAACTTTATGACGTCATATGAAGCTGAGACACAGTTGAGTTAGAACCCAACAGTGGAGTCGTCTCTCCATGTCTGGTCATTAGCCCACCATGAGGGAGATGGTGATGTTTGATCCTTGGTTCATATCTGTCAGTATGAATTAACATTTAACACAAGAAGTGAGTCATGAAGAGGAAAAACAAACATATGTAAGTTGCACCTGACTATGAGTCACAGGACCAGCAAAACTATGAAAACCTGTGTGACCTACAGCTGAGAAAATACAATCCCAGAACCAAACTAGTTCTGTTGACCTGTAAGGCATCTTGCAGCTCAACCTTTAGTGTAGCAAAAGAATCAAAGCAGGTTGACATCTTTCTAATTTATCCAACTACTGACTGAACCTCCCATTGTCTACAGTGAGGTGTAGACAAGAGAGGTGGGGTGCAGCCTGAGCAGGTCACCAGAGACACACAGGGCATACAACCATGCACACACACACTTCAGAGAGAAAATTTAACCTGACAAACCTCATGTTTTTGGACTGTCAGAGGATATACGCACAGGGAAAACATGCAAAGCCAGGCAGAGAGACTCAAATGGGATTCAAACCCACAACCTTCTTCTGTAAATGGTGCTACCAACCGGGCTACCGCACAACACGCATCCTCTCCCCGCAAAGCACACCTTGGAAAATCTCTCCGACCTTTTCTCTGTCTCCCTCAGAATAAGTCAACTCTAGTACAGGACGATCAGGATGAAAAGATGGCAGCCATGCTGTTACCAACGGGTCCTGACGGCTTGCGGCGGTTCACTCGCGAATCCCTGGCTGCCCTGGAGCGGCGGGTGGCGGAGGAGCAGGCCAAGAGCTCCAAGGATTGCACCGAGGCTCAGAAGAACGCCGAGGCGGCCAAACCCCGCGCCGACCTGGAGGCGGGCAAGCAGCTGCCGCGCATCTACGGCGATGTCCCTCCAGAGCTCGTCGGCGTTCCCCTGGAGGACATTGACCCCTTCTACTACAAGAACCAGAAGGTGAAAAATTTGTGATTGTCCTTCTCAAAGTGAAGGCAACGACGCTTGTCTTTCTTTCTGAGAACATTTTCCCCGTCGGCGAAACAGCTTAGCCTTGACCTCTTTTCAAACAAATCCTCTTTTGATTCATAGTTCTTTAATTTGGAGCTGCTTCTGCAATTCAGACGTCAGTCTCTGTTTTACCAGGAAAATTGCTGCTGCTTGAAATTTGTCATAGGCCACGTTTGGTCTGATGCCCATCAACCAATCACAGGTCACCAAATAGAGATTTCTTAATTTTTAAATTTTTTATTTACGTATTTTACTTATTTTTTTCTTCTTTTTTTTTTGACAATGAAACTCTTTGGCTACAGCAGCGTAAGAGAATTTGGAATTTTCTTATTTATTTGCTCTCAGTGCGATTCATCACAATTCCAGTCGATTCGGTGTTTTCATAACTGCTTCAGACACGGACGACGGAAGACCCACACCCAAACGTGAACGTTCTTCCACTTTTCCAATCACGAGTACCGATTGGGAAAATGTACCTTTGTGTCTCCCCAGTTTTATTCTCTGAGTTAAACAAAGATATCTATGGTTTAGGGCTTTTTTGTTTTGTTTTGTTTTGTTTTTTTCCTATTTTATTACATGTAGTTGTTTCCAAATTCAGAGCAAAAAGCAAATTTTGTCATAAAATATGAATTTATTGTGTGATTTTTCACACATCTCAAACCAAGAAAAAACAAACAAAATAAAAAGAGAAAAACATTTGTCAATTCAAATGAAGCACATCAACAATTCAACAACACACAAAAAACAATATAATCAGCATGAAACTGTTGATATAACCCAGACAAAATGTCCCTCTTTTTACATATTCCACATGAGTTGATAAATAATAATCATTTTGAAATGCATTTGGAGTTACTGTCTTAGTGTCAGGGTTAGGGTTAGGGTTAGTATCCACTACTGGCAAAATCAATAGAAACCTCCCTTTTGGGAGGAAATGTTAGCCATCCTTCAAATAACTTCTTCTCTGCGGCTCGCCGTGACTAAGACAGCCTCTCCACGTCGCTTTAGATCTCTGGTGGATTCTGAAATAGGATTAGCAAGTTTTGATTTGCTGAGCCGGAGGATCAGGCTGCCGCCCATTAATGGAGAGATGAAAACAGGACATGGCAGCCATTCTCAGGGTCTCTTTGTTTTGGCATTTGATGCGCTGCTGGATGGGAGGATTATCCAAAGGCCAGGAAATATTTAAATAAATGCCACATCTGTTGGGGAAACATGCCGTCCGCTTTGGAGTTGCCTCCATTATCTCAACTTGCCCCGATGACTGCCCGTGGTGGAAGTTAGCACAGATGGCAGACAGAGCGATTGAGTCAACACTGTGCTGCTGCTCCCTCTCGGTGAAAGGAAACAGCTAAACAGCTGCTGCCGGATGATGCGTAGCCTCGCTCCACAACATGACACGAGAGATTCACTATGTTGCAATGTTTGAAAATGGGATTCCCCCCCCTTGTCTTAACATTGGTGTTTGTCTTTTGCTTCTCTTTGCAGACTTTTATAGTACTTAACAAGGGGAAAGCCATCTTCAGATTCAGCGCCACGTCTGCACTTTACATACTAAGTCCATTTCACTTCATCAGATCGATTGCCATAAAAATCCTAGTCCATGCATATCCTTTTTGAATGACTCGTTGGTGTCTGTGTGTGTTGACTTTGCTGTTTTTGGTTTGGAATGTGTTTGGGAGCCCCTCCTCTATCTAACAAATAGTTTTTTTTCTTTCAAAATGTATTGTAGACCACAGACATCCCTATGACTTTAGTCATAATGACAGTGGTCCAGTATTTACATCTCTGGAAAACTCTCACATGTTATGTTTTCAACCTCAAATTTCACTGGCTGAATTTTAATTGACTTCCATCTGAAGAACGAACATCAGGGTCCAAATAATTATACAATCTCCTGAAAAAAAATAAGACAATCAGAAAACTGTGCAACGCATTTGTATTCGGAAGCCTAAACCTTTGTCCCGTTGATCAAAAAAAAAAAAAAAAAAACAAATAAAAGGAAAAACATTGCCTGGTAGTTTCAATGATAATTTATAACTCTACAGTGACTGTATGATTCCATGTTCTGGTTCACCTCCAGCTTATTTTAGAAAAACAAATACTATATTATGTATTTCTCTGACACGCCACGTTTTCCTGAACCATTTCCACGTTGTTTAGCTATTTCATAATGTTCACCATCCTGACCAACTGTTTCTTCATGGCCATGTCCGATCCGCCAACATGGACCAAATACCTGGAGTAAGTAAAGCTTCATCTCCCTCCGCTTTACCTGTTTTTGTTTGGTTTGTTCATCCCAAACGTTGCTAATGCAGAGTTGCCGGGGGTCTGTTGATTTGTCAGAGACTTCTGCAGAATTACCAGAGACGTGAGTATACGTAGGTGTGGCGCATGTCGTGTTGACGGTTCTCTGAACACAACGTGGGCATGCCGTGGGATGAGAAGAGCTTTGAATGTGTTTCGAGGACTTTGCTGCTGTGCATGCCGTGAAAGGCTCGGCGGAAACGTTCGATTTTGTTGCCGCTTCAACGATGACATGAAACTCATTTTGAGAGAAAACGTTTGATTTCTTCCCAAGGAATTGGATGAAAGTAGATCATTTGTAAATATTATACAATGCATACAAAAAAAAAAAAAAACAAGAAATGCTAGAAATGTCCTCATTCCCAGATCTTTGGCAAAACCTGAGGCTAAAAGTTTTAATTTCTTATTAATTCATCTTCTTTCAGCAACAATCCTACTGTTTGGGAACAGAGAAAACCAGTGGATTTGAAAGTGAAACGTGCAAAGTGTTGTTTGTAACCAGATGATCATCTATCACCTCTTGAAAAAAGTGAAGTGACACTTGTACTTTTTGGTGATTGCCAATATTGATAGTTTGTTGTCAAACTTTTATCACTTAATAAAGTGAAACACTTTCACTTTATTAATGCACTGCTGAATTCAATGTCCCACGTTGTCACTTCATTTTGGCTTCAAATTCTTTTAGCATGTTTTTCTTATCTTGCTCTCAGTTTGCTTGCTGAGTCATTTCACTGTTGTTACATTTCTCCAGAAAATGTGCCTGTTGGAGTTCATCATAAAGCAGGGGTCAATGTGCGTCCAGTGGCCCATACGTGTGTGTGTTCATCCTTTCTAACGGTCCCCAGGTACACCTTCACTGGCATCTACACTTTCGAGTCAGCGATCAAGATTTTCGCGAGAGGGTTCTGCTTAGTGCCGTTCACCTTCCTGAGAGACCCGTGGAACTGGCTGGACTTCATCGTCATCATCATGGCGTGAGTGGCTGTTTCAAAACAGTCTGCTTGATTTGGCTAAACTCCCCGAGATCAGCCGACTGTTTCGTCCGTTTGCGTTGTAGCAAACCGTCGTGGTCTAAGCTCTCCCTCATCCCTCCTCTCTTTGTACCAAATTCCAGGTATGTCACCGAATTTGTCGACCTTGGGAATGTCTCTGCGTTAAGAACCTTCAGAGTCCTGAGAGCCCTGAAAACCATCTCAGTCATTCCAGGTGAGGCAGCCGTCGCTGTCCGGCTTCTTCGTCTGTAAAGTCACACAGTTAGAAAACAACCAGCAAAATTTGGGTCTAACAAGTTATAGAAATATAAATGAGAGTGTTTCCTTTTTTTAAAAAAAGTCACATTTTCGTCATGTTGTTCATTCATAAAAGTCAGAGTTCCACACGAAATATTTTGTCTGACAGCTAAGTGTTTAGATTTCAAACTAACTTTTCAGTTCAAAAACTAAATATTTACCTCAGTCTCAAATATTTCATTCAGAACTAAATATTTAGTTGGGAAGAGAAATATTTAGTTTAACTCTAAGACTGACCTTAACATTTAGTTAAGTTGTGCATTTAGCTTGTGAACTAAATATTTATTTCACAAGTTAAATATCCAGATTGAAAAAGAAATATTTAGCTCCCAACTAAATATTTAATTTAAAATAACTAAACACTAAATATTTAGCTTTTAAATGAGTAGATGTAAAGGCTTAGTTTGGATCTCTGACACATACAAATGTGTGAAAGTATGACTGAACAAAAGAACACATTTGTTTCACTAAGACAGGCTAAATAAACTACAATGATGTTGCTGTTAAATTTTCAGCGTCTATTTTTTATTTTTTTATTTTTCTGTGTTTCCTCCTCCATCCAGGTCTGAAGACCATTGTGGGCGCTCTGATCCAGTCCGTGAGGAAGCTGGCCGACGTGATGATCCTGACCGTCTTCTGCCTCAGCGTGTTCGCCCTCATCGGCCTGCAGCTCTTCATGGGTCTCCTGCGGCAAAAGTGCGTCCGGAACCTCGATCACTGCATCAACTCCTCGTACACCCCCAACACCACCTTCGTCTGCAACAACCGGAGCTGGAGCTCGCCGGACGACTTTCTCACCCACGAGGGTCAGCCTCAAACGAACCGTAGCTGCGTTTCCATTACAAATGTGCGCAAATCTCTCTGATGACAAAAAAACAAACAAACAAACAAACAAACAAAATTATGGCAACGACTGATGCAAACAGTGACCAGAGATGTAGTCATACGGAACACCACTGAGGTCATAAATGTAGGAACATCTCGCTTTACTTTGATGCGTGCACAACAGGCAAACAACGAGTAAAGTACGTGATGTTTACGCGTTAAAATAAGCCATGATGACATCACATCAAAAACGTGTAAATCAGTTGACTTTGTTAATGTCTCTTCTGGACAACGTCACATCCTGGGAGTCTGAGTCACGTCTCGAGGTGATGATCCTGACTCATCAGAGTGGACAGGGACATACATCACATACTTCATACGCCGTTTGCATGCTGTGCGCGTGTCAAAGTGACACAAAATGTACACACGTTTATGACCGCAGTGGCGTTCCCCAGCAACATGTCAGACAGCGTCTCCTCGGAAGCAGCCACGCATGCGTTGTTTTGGGGAAAACGCAGTCTTTTTATGAACTGTTCTGGTGGATTCAGCATCGTATACTCCAAAAAAAACAACAACCCCAAAACAAAACCAAAAACAAACCATCATCTTCCTACTACCTTTGTGTTTGTTTGTTTTTTGCCAGTAGACTGTTGATAATCCAGCTATTTTCGCCTCAAATACGAGACACAAAAAATGTTTTCACTGCAGTTTTGTGAAATACACCTGTCTCGATATGATATGGCCAAAAAAACCACCTCATTCTAATGCAAGAAAACTTTTTGGCGAAACTTGACTTTTTTTTCAAAATTGACATGGTTCCACTAAACAGATTTCTTTTCTGTTTTTTTTTTTTTTTATTTCAATTCATGCAATTCTATGGTTAATGGAAATGCAGCTATTGCCTGCAGTCTGCAAGCACTTCACACATGCACACTGCTCTGCTCCCACTGAACTGTCACTCCTCCTCCCTTAGATAATTTCTACAAAGTTGAAGGGCAGAAGGATGCTTTAATATGTGGATATGGAAGCGATGCAGGGTAAGTGAATCTGCGCTTATTAATAATCCGTGGGTCGTTACATAATGTTGAAATGTTTACTGCCGTAATGGCTTCTGATCCCCTGCATGCCGCCGCTCTGTACAATAGGACACAGAAGCTCGGAGGCCGTTTTTCACATTGGCAGGAAAACACCACAGCAGTTCATTTCCTGTTGGGTTTAACATTACAGTGACTGTGGGGCTTAATGCACAGGGCTGTGATCTCATCAGAGGGACAGGCGTTCATGAGAGGAGCCACATATTGTGCGGATAATCACGTCATCGCTGCCTTTACAAAGAAACTCTGAGTTGGCAGCTGAAGAAGAGCTGCCATTACATACTTAATCCCCCAGAAAGCCAACTAAATAAAATTAGGATAACTGGAATTGATCAGAGCACTTTAAAATGATGTTTTCTCAATGTTCAGGGAAGATCCTACTTATTAAGAGCCAAAAGCAACATTTTACGTTACATAGTGGATTTCAGTTGTTCCTTACCCTGTCGTTCAGGTTAATTTAATCAATCTAAATGCAAACATGGAATTATTTTATTTTTTTCCTTTGAACGGATGACTGCTCCCAGTCGAAGGGCAAATTCAATTTCGGTTGAAGTGAACTCTGGCACAGTTCGAATTCACACCAAGCGGAGGCCAAGCGGACCGGAGACCGCTCCAAAAGCAGGAAGCGACTTGTAATGCAGGGTGTTCTGGGTAAACGCAACCAAAACAAACCCGCCAGTCTTTTACCAAAGACAAAAGAGAAATCCCACAATCACTCAAATCTGACGTCACTCCACTTTTTTTTACATTTCTCGAAGAATGTCTTCATTTTGACTCCTTCAGCAGTTCTTGGTGCAGCGCCACCACAGGCGAAGGAGTGAACAGGTTTTTCAGTAGTTTGACACAATGCAGTGTTGTTACATTTGTTACAGCTTTGGTCCTCAGGTTAGCAGGTGTGAAAACAGCCTAACTAAAGTTGTAAGTCCAAATGCTTCGAAACAAGAACAAGGCAGCAAATCTTCACCCTGATCCCAGTCTGAAGCATTGTTGAGCTAATTGAGTTGGATTGTGAAAACCTCTGACCACAACAGTCTCCCTTCACTGGGTGTTCCAATGAAAACCAGGATGATAGTGCTTTGGAAAAATTAGTGACAGCCAGGTTCGTCTCTTTTGAACTTTTAGGATTGGTTTTGTTTTGCAGCCACTGTGTTTGCATTGAAAGCAGTAAAAGGTGTTGGGTTTTTGCAGTGTCATGTTGATGCAAAGATACAAATGAGGGTTTTTTGTGGAAATGATTGAATGTCTCTGGATGTTTGGCTCTCCTTCACGCCTGCCACAAAAAGCACTATTGAGCACTTATTTTATATGTGGATAAGTTCTATGTTTCTGTCTTTTTCTGAGTATACACTGCAAAAAACACAAATTTATACCGAGCACTTTTGTCTCGTTTGCACTGCAAATCCGCAGTGTCCGTGGCACCACAGCCCTCGCCGTGACGCTTATCAATACATATATATATCAATACATATATTGATAAGCGTCGCAGAGTCATCCTGCATCAGAGAGCGGCCACCCTGCCGTTTTTAATCCCACTCGGACGGCAGCCTCCCAAAAAAACACAGGAACTTAATCTCCTCGAGGAGGAAAATCTGATCCAGTAATTTCTGTTGAAGTCAGAGTGAAAAGAGAGGAGGGAACTTTGGGTGGAAGTGATGTCATCAAGTCTTTTAAGTAGTAGGTTAGTGAGCTCAAAGTGGACATTCAAGCTAAAAAGCTAAATGTTTGGGGTTTTTTTTTACCAGTCATGGTGATTGTTTACCTTTTGGTCAACTAGTTTCGTTGTCTCACTTTGATTTTACCGTTGCCTTATCGTCAAAAGTGATGTTGTGTTTTTGCATTTCGTTGCCACCACACGGCTTCCAAATGAGATGACCCAGAACATGGATGACAGATTATAGGTCAAAAGGGCTGCAAGGTAGCTTATGTGTTTGTTTGCAAATTATGTGGCAGGCTTTTAACTTATGCGCCGTTTCTGCTGGAACTTTGCGCGGCGGACTGTGGAGACAGGCAAGATACTAAGCAGGTCAGGACGGAGGACGTGAAACACAGAGGATGCTTAATCTTTTGAGTGTATTCCAGCAAGTAATCCCTGAGTAGATTTCCAAATTAAAGCTCCAGATACGTTATGATGACACACACTGCCACACACATGCGCAGAAGCAGGCGCCGCTGAGCGCTCAGACTCACAGGACTTGTGCTAATTGAAATGCTACTTTCAGCCTGGTCACTAAGTTTGTTGTATATTGTTTGCCTTTAGAGTTGAGGATGTTTTTCATCAGTCCTTCTATCGTGGTTAGGCCTTTTCTTGACCTCTTGCGTCTCGATGCCCTTTGGGAAATCAGGTTTATTACTGATTGAACTCACATTTTGAACTTTTGCCCCTTTTGTGGAAACCCAGCACTTAAGCTGTCCTCAGAAAAAAAATGCAAATTTTCTTCTGCTGCTCATTAAATTACATGAACTCTGAGCTGATCTCCTGGAATACAAATAGAAAAGCGTGCATGGCAGCCACACCAAAGATCGTCAGAGTTTATTTTGTTGTTTTGAAATGCAAACTGAAAACAAACTAAAAAAAAAAAAAAGAGCCATCCATTCACGCACAAGTCATCATCTTTTTTTTTCTACTAAAATCGCACGATCACGGGATACGTCATTAAAAACCCCACCGCCGCTCCATCATCCATTCTTCCTGGCGTCTTTGTCGTTTCCACCAGCAGCAACATCTGCTTGTTTATGACACGACTCGTGTTTCCGTTGCAGTGTGTGCAGTGTGGCGAAATTCACCCATTTGACGCAGCCAAAATACATGGATCAAATACGACTATTGGAATAAACAGGAGACTCGGTTGAACAAAGCATCTGGTACAGCAAGACGTTTCCAGCCTCACACAGACATCGGCGCCCTTGACGTTGGTCAAAATTCCCGCTTAGCAGCCCGGTGAGACCTGCATCTGTTCTCACAGCCGTGCTGTGCCGCCCAGATGTTGGCCAGCCATTATGAAATTATTCCCCGTTCACATTGACATGGAAGTGCAGCTTGTTCTCTGCTGCAGGACTTAAATATCTGCTGTAACGCCACTGCGCTAACAATGAAGATCAGGGATGGAGGCACGGAGCCAGACGTTTTTTGAGGCTGTTATTTGATATCCATCTGGCCGAGTGTAATCTCTTTAACTCGGGTTTATTTTAGAGCTTCGGCCTGAAACAGGTTTCAAGTGCTGTGTTCGGTTGGGGTGAAAAAATGGTGCTAATGGAGCTGCATCCACTCACTGTATCAAAAATGAAGAACAACATGTAGATAAGGGAAGTGTTTTTAACCTGAGTGCCAACAGAGCTGTATTTATCCTGCTTGCTTCTAATGTTTCGGTCCTGTCACTTAATGATCTGTCTTCTTCTTCTTGATTTCATATCTGTCACAGGAAGTGCCCGGATGGATTTGATTGCCTCAAAGTGGGAAGAAATCCAAACTACGACTACACCAGTTTTGATACCTTCGGTTGGGCTTTTCTGGCACTTTTCCGACTCATGACCCAAGACTATTGGGAGGAGCTCTTTCACCAGGTACAGTGGCTTTTAATTCATACGTAAGTCATGTTGAAAGTTTACTGGTCATTTTCGGGAATGGATTTGATCAAAGGATGTTGGTGCTTTAGAACATCAGGGGGTAAAAAAGCGAATTGAGTATCTGAAATATGTCGTCCAATTTCAGTGAGCTTGAATGTATTGTCAAGAAGACTGAACAAAGACGATCCTTGCAAAACTGGTAGAGACATATCCTGAAAGATATGCGACTATAATTGTGGCGCAAGATGATTCCCCAACATATTGACTCGTAGGGTCCAAATGCCACAATCTTTATTTGAAAAAAAACAAAAAAAACAATGAAACTGGGCAGCATTTATTGTCGGTACAAGTAGGGATTATCTCTTATCCTATGAGCATAACCGTGCAACTTTCCCATGTGAATTTCCCTCAGACTCTGCGCTCAGCAGGGAAAACCTACATGGTTTTCTTTGTGCTGGTGATCTTCCTTGGCTCCTTCTACCTGGTGAACCTGATCCTGGCCGTGGTGGCCATGGCCTACGAGGAGCAGAACCAGGCCACCATTGCTGAGGCCTGGCAGAAAGAGAGGGAGTTCCAACTGGCCATGGAGCATCTCAGACGAGAGCAAAGAGTAGGTGCAAGATTCTCCTTGTGTGTGTGTGGCCTTGGCTTTGATATGATGTAAGGACCTTTCCAAAAAATACTGTACTGTGAGGACTGTCTGCTCCATATGGGCCCGAAGCCAAGGCCCCCTAAGAAGATCTGCTGTACTTGGGTTAAGGGTAAAGTTTGGAAGGCGTGAGTAAGTTTTGATTAAGGTTAGGATTAGGAATAGACTAGAAATGAGTAAATGCAACTACTAAAAGGAGTAGAAGTCAATAAACAGCCTTCAGTTGAATAGAAGTACAAGGATATTCGCTTGTATATATGTGTGCTGTAGATTATAAATTACTCTGTCGCATAATTTCTGTCTGTTTGAAGTTGGCAGCCAAAAGACAAGCACAGGAGACGGACTCCATTGTGTCGCCGGAGTTATCGCCATTCTGTCTAAAAGCAGGAAGTATACGCCGCAGCAGCAGTAGAAGAAGAAGATCTCACAGGACTCTTTCAGAGGAGACGGCAGCCGAAGCCGCTGAGGAGAGGCTGGAGCCAGTGGATGAACTTGTGGTACAGCAAACAAGCTTCACCCAGTTGTTGAGGTTGTACCCTACATTAGCCGATGACGTCCTCCTGTTTGTCTCTCTCTGTAGCCTCCTCTGTCCCCTCTGCCTGTCCACCCTCTGCTGGCCACGCTCTCCTCTCACCCCCTCAGCACCAGGAGAGCCAGCCAGAACAGCATCTTCAGCTCCTTCCGCCCTCGCAACAACTCGGAGGCTGACTTCGCAGACGACGAGTACAGCGTCCACGGGGACGTCTTCAGGAGTCGCGCCGGTTCGACCGCAACGCCCTGGAAGAAGAGGACGGGCAGCGTTAGGAGCCACTGCTCCCAGGTGTTGACCCCCAGCCTCAACATCAACGGACGACTCAGCGTCTTGCTGGACCAGAACGGCGTCGCCGCCATGGGCCTGCTCACTCCGACGTGCATGCCGGCTCACAGCATGGAGAAGTTCAAGGAAGAAACAGTAAGTGGAGGACAGACTGGTGTTTCGCATTAAATGGGAGAAAATAAGACTGGAGCGATTAATTGCCTTCAACACGACGAGTGAAGATCAATTGATTATTGGAATAATCATCAACTTGACTGATTAGAAAATGATTCATTTTAAGGATTTCCCCAGAAAACTTGCCAGGGCTCACAGTTGGGCACTACGGCAGTCGTTCATCCAGCGGCCCGTCGAATTTTTGAGTTAAAAAATTTTTAAAGTTGACAAGAAATTTGAAAATGTCACTTTATAGTTCTGTATTATTATTCCACAAAAGGTAATCTTCTGAACAAACAACATATTCAGAGGAGTAACTCTACAAAATATATATGAATTTTACAATTAAGATGAAAACACCTTAGTCTGTAAACATATTTTACCCAAAACTCCTCAAGTGGCAGATCTAGCTTCACCTGGTTGAAATTCACCAAATGAATCCTGTTGTATTGCATTTCGAGCAAATTTTTTTTTAATTTTCTTATTTTAAAAAAAATGTAACTATTTATTTGCATCTTTTAATGTATTTGCAACATCACATAAAAAAGGGCATTAAGTGCTTCAATAAAAAAATAAGTAGAATCTGCCAGTTTTCTATCCGATTAATCAGTTGAATAATTAGGAGAAAAATCAATTACAAAATTAATTGTTAGCCAGAGCCCTGAAAGAAAACAAGCTCAAGTATCAGACCAAAACCAATATATCAGACGACATTTATTTCTTCTTGTCTGCCAGCGGCCATGCGGTGGAGTGGACGCCGCTCCCAGACCTCTGCTGCAGCCGTCGCCCAGCGTCACGGAGCGCTGCTCTGTGCGCAGGAAACGAGCTCACAGCTCCTTCAGCTTCTTCAGCGACGCCATGGAGGGTGGGTCCATTTCATTCCTCGAGTAATGTCCAGGAAATTAATCGGAAAAAAATTCTTTTTTTTTTTTTTTTAAATCATTTTTTCACCCGATTTGGGTTCCTCCTTGCAGAGCTGGAGGAATCGAGGCAGAAGTGCCCCCCTTGCTGGTACGCCTTCGCCAAGAAGTATTTGATATGGGACTGCTGCCCCTGGTGGCTGAAGCTAAAGGAGTGCGTGAAGTTCATGGTGATGGATCCCTTCCTGGATCTGGGGATCACCATATGCATCGTGCTGAACACCCTGTTCATGGCTCTGGAGCATTACCCCATGACTGAGGAGTTCAACACCATGCTGTCAGTGGGCAACCTGGTAAGAGGCTCTTCAATGATAGGAGCCGGATCACATCCTGCATTTAGCCCGCGTTCCCTCAAGTGCTGTCAGGTGCTACGTTAGGAGATATGAGCTGGCTGAAGAGGAAAATGGTTTTCAAACTGATATTGCATTTCAGCACTCGACGAGAAGGACGTTTCTTTTTTTTTTTTAGCTTCTACGCTGATGCCAAGTCAAAGGTTCTGTTGTTGAGACATTTGCCTGGTGAGAAGCAAATTTTCATCAGGAAATGATGGGCAGAGTTTCTGTATTTGTGTTCTGAATGTGTATAGAAAAGGTTAATAATACTATTCTCTATTCAAGTACGGGTGGGTGATGTCCACTGCAAAAAAAAGACTGCGGTAAAATACCGGCAGATGTGTTTGCCAGAATTTTACTCTTTTTTTTTCGTTTGTTTGTTTTAACTGTAAAATTTTAGTTTTATCAAGATATTTTGTGCCAATATTGTGATACCAATAAAAGTGAGAACCAATTTATTACTTATATGACAGAACCCCACAATCACAAGCTAATGGGAAACCAATGAGGGACTGACATCCATCAGTTGTTAAAACGAGTCAAGCATTGTATACATCAAAGTTGGCTATTTTACAAACTTTAAAACGTCCTTATTTTTGAGTGATGCACACAGAAGCTAATGTTTATTTACACAGGAAATGGTGGACTGGGTCGTTGATCCTCATAACTTTAGAAATTTTGAACTGTTCTTTTCCTGTTTATTTTCCTCAGGGCAGTAACTCAATCCATTTTTATTCGCCGTATGCAATTCTTGGGTTTTAAAATTGCACAACAGATCGAGCCTTGAAAACTAAAACGTAAACATTTTTGCAGTAATTGATGAGGAAATTGTTGTAAATTTTTCAAAGAACTTTAATACTGATGTGATGGAGAACAAATTCTTTCCAGGTTTTCACAGGGATCTTTACAGCTGAGATGGTGCTGAAGCTCGTTGCCCTGGACCCCTATCACTACTTCCAGCAGGGCTGGAACATCTTCGACGGCGTCATCGTCTGCCTCAGTCTGATGGAGCTGGGCCTTTCCACCGTGGAGGGACTGTCTGTCCTGCGCTCTTTCAGGCTGGTGCGACAAACCTTCAGCTCTCAGACTGTGTTGCATTGTTTCGCTTTGCATTGTAAGGGTTTCAAACGCCAAGCGAGCACATTTCTATTTGTTCTGTGTTCATCAGCTGAGAGTGTTCAAGCTGGCAAAGTCCTGGCCTACTCTCAACACGCTCATCAAGATCATTGGGAACTCCGTGGGCGCCCTGGGGAACCTGACGCTGGTGCTGGCCATCATTGTTTTCATCTTCGCTGTGGTGGGCATGCAGCTGTTTGGCAAGAACTACCAAGACTGTGTGTGTAAGATCGCCTTTGACTGCCAGCTGCCCCGCTGGCACATGAAGGACTTCTTCCACTCCTTCCTGATCGTGTTCCGGGTGTTGTGCGGCGAGTGGATCGAGACCATGTGGGACTGCATGGAAGTGGCCGGGCAGCCTCTCTGCATCCTGGTGTTCATGTTGGTCATGGTCATAGGGAACCTGGTGGTAAGTCACGAACAATCACTGTGCTATTCCTAGTCTCGCACGTATTGAGAATGAATAATTCTGGTTTAGATAGTTGCAAAGACGAAAGAAATGACATGTTAGGAAACATCCTCACAGCTCAAGTTAAAGAAACGCCCCATGTAGGGTGCAGCTTAGATGGAGGCTGACAAAGAGAATGACAAACTTTTGCTTGATGCCATTTTGTCCTGCATGAGAAATGGAATTGGTATTAATAAATAGAATCCATCAATTCAACTCACTGACTCTTCTTCAACCTCATACATCAAGAACTCAGCATGGAGAAAGGATGATTCTCCACAAAATACTGTTTCCAGGGTCCTACTCCAGAGAAAGTCCACTTCTCGTACTGAACCACTTTGTTCAGCTACGTCACGTCTGACAGTGTCAGTTTAGGGCAACGAATCCGAGAGACCCACCTTTTGAAAATATGTTGGCGGCATTAAAAGACTACTGCCAGAGGTGTGAATAATTGTGGGATAAACTGTAAATATTTTGGGCAGGGAATGGAAAACTCTTGGATGATGCATAATTTTTTTTTCTCTCTTCTTAAAAATGATCAGGGTTTATCTTAGTCTCATTAAACTCTTAATGCCTCACATATAAGTGGCAGATGTGTATTTAAGACGCGTTGCTTCTTCTTCTAGCTAACGCTAAAGGAACATCAGGAGAGTGGTCGGCTTGTCACGGTTCCTAGTCCATTGTTTTGCATGCGGATCTCGTTAGTGCCTGTCGGCTGCCATGCCAGGTCAAAGATCCACTCAAAACTGTTTCTCTGATTGGATTTCACTGCATAGAACCTTTCTGTAGATGATAATTGTGAGGAAGCAGTCCATCTAAAGGATAATCCAGGATGCTTGGGGGGGCGAGAAGAGGCCGTTTATCGCAAATCATCCCATAACTGCGTGGCTCAGCAGCTAAAGATGATCCTTATCAACTGTGTGTGTCACACACACTTCCTGTTCTTGTGTATGTGTGTGTGCGTGTGTGTGTGTGCGTGCATACAGCCCCCACACACACCAAGCCAGCTGACAGATTACTTTTATGTCATGTGCTTTGAGCCTTGACTTAAAGGGGGATGCAGCAGCTGATTCCGTATGTGATCATACATTGTTGAATAACCTCCTGAACTACTAGGCAGGATTTAGCAATGTTGGCAAATACGTGAGACATGTCTGGTTATTATTCTTACTCGCTCCTTCGTGTACAAAGCCTGTTTCCTGTTGTGCATTTACAGCACAATATGATTTAATCTCAGTAAGTCCGTTCTTGCTCTACCCACCAGCTTCAGACAAGTTTTCATTCGCCGTGTTCAGCTCCATCCATCGTTCAATCAGCGACAGCCAGTGTCCCTGTCCCTGCTCCAGGAAAGCCTCCCCTCAGTATGACGCTGCCACTGCCATACTACAAATGTTTCTGGACGATCATTTCTCCAGGGAATTATTGTGACAAACGACAACATTTGTTGTTTTGAGAGAGCTTTTCGAGCAACGCGTTGGTAATGTAATACTAAGTCTCCAAATCCAACACACTTTGATTATATAAAGAGCACGTAACACTGGGACTGGAAGATATTTTAAATATCCAAAATAAAACCCAACAACTATAAATAAAAAGGAAACCAAACCGTAAATGAAGTGAATTATGAACAAAACTGCCCTTCAAAAAATATTAAGCATCAGAATGGAAATTACGGAGCTCATTTTAATTGATCATTGAACATCATACAGACGTCATTTTCCTTCCACTCTACAGCTGGCGGCTTCCTGTTTCACATACGATCCCACAAGATATCTTTAAGTGATCGAGTTTGGAAAACTTTAGGATGCATGGATGCTTTTTGCACGGGCTTTTATTTGCAAATGTGTATTTTTTTAAAAAGAATTTGTCTAACCCTCGTGTAAAATAACACATTTCTCCGTCCCCAGGTGCTGAATCTGTTTCTTGCCCTGCTGCTCAGCTCCTTCAGCTCCGACAACCTCTCCGCTCCCGAAGAAGACGGCGACCTGAACAACATCCAGGTCGCCATCGGCCGCATCCACACCGGCGCGTCGTGGCTCTGTGGGAGCATCGTCGACCTCTTCAGACACGGCTTCAGGAGTCAAAAGCAGAAGGCCAAAGAGGCCGTTCAGGCTGAGCCGATGGTCGGAAATCACACAGAGAGCAACGGCGGGATAATCGGAAGCTGCGGAGAAAAGTACATCCTTCCTGAGGAGGACAGTTATATGACCAACCCCAACCTGACCGTCGTGGTTCCCATCGCTCCGGGAGAGTCTGACGTGGAGTTTCTGGAGGAGGAAAATTCAGAGTCATCAGAGGATGAGGACAACAAACCGGTAAACTCAGATTTTCCGGCATTTCATATTTTACTCTAAAAAGTATTTTTCAAGAAAATAGGACTTAAAAAACTCTGATTCCCTTTGTTAATTGCCTTTAATTCTATGTAAACAGTAGCTGTTGCTTGTGTTTGTTTTTGGTGTGCAATTCTGCACATCAAGGCTGCTGCAATGTTGCTTCTGATTCGCTTACAAACTGCTAAACAAACTACAAAACAATCTGTGACCTGCTATGAATCCTCTCCGCTTTCATCTCAACGCCAAGCGCCCGCAGAAAATTTCACCCAAGCATTTTATCACCTCACTTTATTGTCAGTTTTCACTCTAAAGCTAAAGCTTAGTTGAAGCATCTACTAATTCACGTTCTTGCATTCGCTTCTGCCAGAAATTATACTGAATGTAACTGAACTGAAATAAGAATTTTCCCAATTTTCCCACATTTTTCTTCTTTTAGCTGAATCAGCAGCAAAGGATCGGAAGGGTCTCGTTGTGCAAACATGTTCTGTTGAGATCCTGGAAAAGCTGCTTTACTGAAGCCGTAGTTTAAGGATGGGCACGTTTAAGAATGGTTTCTTTCTAGCCAATTTATTTATTTATTTTTTTTGTAAAGGTGTGGAACAATTGTCCTGGAATTTTAACAGCGCTCTCGGCGCAAAGCAAAGTTGGTGAACTCGCATGTAAAGACTTGCACAATCGTCCTCTTTTAGCTTTTTATGTTTTGTCAGAAACATTTGTGTTTTATTACATGCAATAAATAAATTCAAAGTAGAACCAGTCACCCAGTATGAATTTTCTTAAAACCATAATTGAACAAACAGAACCATGTAGCTCAAGAAACACACCAGGGATAATAATAATAATAATAATAATAATAATAATAATAATAATAATGCATACCAAATTTAACATTTCTTTTTGTGAAAAAAAAATGTTTGCAAGGCACTGTAAATACTTTGAATACAACTATGGCTACTGATCAATTAGTAGCACAATTAACCTTATGTGTCTGAACAGATTTATTTGTTTTCCAGTTGAATTGAAGAGGAGATAAATGACATTAGAGGGGAAATCGTTTTGTCGCTGCTTGGCCAATGTGTGGATATAGTTTTCTGCAGTGTGAGCAAGCTGGCTTTAGCGGTTAGCTTAGCTCCGCAAATAAATAAAAAAATCATCTTTGTGGAAGCCAGAGTTTATTCATTAAGAAAACTGTAATTCCTAATTATATGTTTTTGTTTATTCCTTTAAAAAAAAATCCAACAAGTTAAGCCTGAATCCCCGTACGGGGCTTTCCAGCTAACTTAAAAGTGTGTTGAGGTGGAGGTTATATGTCTGTCTGTCTGTCTGGCGGACGGACAGGAGTGGGCCAGATGTGAAGCCGGGCTTTGTAGAAAGATTAAGCTCCCACAGCTGAGGAGAGCCAGACGAGGCCAGGCTGAGCCGAACGGCCTGCTGTCTACGCTCCACATCACACCGCCCTCCTTCAAACCTCCATCGGCTTAGCGGAGCATCAGCAGCTGCTCACAGTTCAAAACAAGGAGGAGTTCTGCCTGAGTAGAGCGTCAAACGCACACACTGTTGACAGGAATACGGCTGGTAATTGGTTAATTGTAAAAAAAAAAAAAAAAAAAAAAAAAACCTGTCTCACACTCTGTAATTCAGTTTTGGAGAGATTGTTGTTCCTGCGCCTTTAGAAAACAACAAAATTTGTCATGCTGGTAATCTGGTCCCTTGGTCCTGTGATTATTCCTGGATTAAACTTCGTACCCTTTTTATTGGATTGAGTCTGCACCTCCTTCCTAAAAGAAATCATTGGAAATATGCTGCCCTTACTAATCAGGAAAATCTCATCAAAATGGACTGTGAACGGCATCCCGGTAACTTTGACTAACCCTCCTCTCCAGGAGAAGATCAGCCTGTCGGAGGGCAGCACCGTGGACATGAGGAAGCCTGGAGAGGAGGAAGACGACCTGTCGGAGCTGGATGATGACAGCATGGAGCCGGAGGACTGCTTCCCATACTGTGAGTCAGCTTCGCACAACTTTCCAAAGAACGGTCATGTTTAGAAACAACATTATGGGGTTCGCCTGGAGAACAGCCTGCCCTGGAGATGCAACAGTAAGGCTAAAATAAGGGACGGAGCAGACGGTGCTCTGCAGGAAGCATAGGTTCTCCACTTTTGAAATCCGGCTACGGACTTAACAGTGGGGTCAAGCAAAAAGCAAGATTTTTGAGGGTCAAGCAAAAATCTTTTAAGCTTGACCCTATGGCTGTCGAGAGCAACATGCACTATGAGAAGCAAAGAGCCACAAACAAACTTCAGAAATTTCAAAATTTATGCTATGCGGTAATACTGCAGGATCCCCCAACTACATCTTATATTTCTATATGTTTTTGGTCTTAAAAATGAATTCACGGTGGCATTTAAAAGGCCTTAGAAAGTCTTAAGCATGGCAGGCAGATATTATGTTTGACACTCTTGGCCTTGGCCGTGTTTGTGTAGCAAAAGATCAACCACAAGTTGGAAATGGAAACTATCAAACCTGAGGAGAAACCAAAAGATGATGGTAGCCTCTTGCTGCATGGATGTTTGGATATGTTTGACATCACCACATCAGACCAATGAAAATATTTGCTCAAAGCCGCTTTTGTCTAACGTGCGTTTTCGATGTGGCGTCAGTGTGTCTGAGGCACTGTCCGTGCTGCGACATCGACACCAGCCGCGGCCTGGGCCAAGCCTGGTGGAGGCTGAGGAAGACCTGCTACCAGATCGTGGAACACAGCTGGTTTGAGACCTTCATCATCTTCATGATCCTGCTCAGCAGCGGGGCTCTGGTAAGATCTGCCCTGATCGGCGGTCAGCAGTAGAAATGTTTTCATGCTTCGCCTGATCTGATTGGCTGGTCGTCCTCTGTCCCGGCAGGCGTTCGAAGACATCTACATCGAGAGGAGAAAAGTCATCAAAGTCATGCTAGAGTACGCCGACAAAGTCTTCTCCTACATCTTTGTCCTGGAAATGTTCCTCAAGTGGATAGCATATGGCTTCAAGAAATATTTCACCAACTACTGGTGCTGGCTCGATTTCCTCATTGTGGATGTGAGTGAAAGTTTGGCTGTCATTAGTGTGATCATTTGATCTTTTCATGAAAGATGAAATATTGTGGTCTTTCAGGTTGAATTATGATTCATTTTCTGTTGGGTTGGTGATTTATTACAGTGCATTGCATAAGTATCCATAACTCTTTTATGTCACATTACAATCACACACATGAATTCATTTCTGTGAGATTTCATGTGATGGTACAAAACAATGATTTTTGGCTTTTTTTTTTTTTACATATAAAAATCTGACAGTGTTGCAGGCGTGTATATTTTCCCTGACTTACCATTATACGCCTTAAAAAGAATTCCAGTGCAGCCAAATGCTTTCAGTTTTCACATCCTGCATCAATAGTTTGTGGAACAACCTTTCACTGCAGCTGCATCTAGAAACTGAAATTTTGGTTGAATTGAGGTTAATAATGTATCTCCGGTTTAGTCACTGTGGAAGGACAGCCTGTGAACTACAGTTTTCAAGGGTTGCTAAATATTCCCATCTGGATTCAGATCAGGTCGGCTTTTATTTTGCCACTTTCCCAGGACAGTCTCATTTTGTAGTTATGTCTGAGTCACGTATCTCTGCAGCTCCTCCAAAGGTAAAATTGGCCTCTTGGCTGCTTCAAAACTTTAGATATGATTTATTTTGTAACGAAACTTTTTCACAAACAGCTTGCTGTGTTTCTTGGTCAATGCACTGGAGATCTTCACTGAACAGCTGGATGTTTAGATTATATTTTATGCACGTGGAAATTTTCTTTGTGTAAATTAGTTCATGTCTGACAGGCAGCTGGTTTACAGGGTGTTTCTGCAAATCCACCGCATTTTCAATGACTTGCTTCCTTATTTGTGTCGCTATATCATCCATCCATCCATCCATCCATCCATCCATCCATCCATCCATCCATCCATCCATCCATCCATCCATCCATCCATCCATCCATCCATCCATCCATCCATCCATCCATCCATCCATCCATTCATCCATCCATCCATCAGCTTCCGTTTAACACACCGAGGCTTGTGATTGTAACATGAATGTTAAAAGGTTCATGGGTTATGCATAATTTTGCAATACACTGTATTATCAGGAAAGGGTTTGTCTGTTTATTTCTAACAAATCTAAGTCTATAAAATGCTCAAACCCTGTCTTTACCAAACCTTAAACTGTTTTCCTGTTACTGAAGAGGCCAACTAGAGCACAGCTTCCCAAACTTTTCTTTGCCATGGACCCACGAACTGCGTTACATCTGTGGACTTGATGTACCGTTCCCAGATGTTTTTGCAGCAGTGACCTGCACAGTTGCATTTTCCATTTCTCGTCAGCTAAGTTGTCTTCAGGAGCAAAGCAGCTCCATACTGGCAGCCATTCAGAAAGATTAGAAAGATTAGCACATAACATTTCAGTAACTTATAATTTAGAATAACGATTGAAAAACATCACATTAAAAATTTGAAATCTAGAATAGTGATTAGTTTTTTTCTAGTTTTGCTTTTTTATTCTCTCAACTTCCCTCCAACTTTCTGAGGCCCCCACTTGAAAAGCACCGGAGTGAAGTTTCCGAAATCCCTCACCGAAACAAGCATTACATGAAGCAGTTTGTTCTTAAAACGGGTTCTGCATTTTGCTTACTGTGAATCGGCGTGGCTCTGTAGTGCGTGTACGTCCAAAGTGGCCGAGGCGTGACTTGACCTCTTCTGATTTCACCTGCTGTTACACAGATCGCCACAGACCGCACTATTGTTAGGGTAAGTTGTAGCTCGCGGGTCCCAGGTGAGTGCGGGACCTGCTATCACACTCGGCCTGTGTGTTTCTTCTTCACTTGTACCTGCTGCTTTGTTGTGATATTAAGGCCTCCGTCTCGTCTCCAGGCGACTCGATTGGGTGTGAAATGTGAAGAAAACAAAACGTACGTGGCTTTTGTATCAAAAACAAACGCAGCACCATGAGCTCCGAGGATTATCTACAGAAGATCTTGTTTATACCGTGAAAGGACAATCAAGTTATGAAATGTGCCTGGTTATAACAGGGCCTTGCAACAATATTCTTACTCTTTCAACTTTGCCACATGCAACCTCATGTCTCACAGGAAAGGTTTAAAACATGCAACCACTCTGTGACATAAAAAGGCCCAGTCAAAGTCTGAACCGAGATCCAATTGACCATCTTTGCCAAGACCTGAAAATTGACGTTCACAGACATTTTACATCCAATCTGATTGAGTTTGAGCGGATCTGAAAAGAGCAGTGGGCAAATTCTTAATCGGAAAAGGGGCAAATCCCCCAAAACACCTGCAACGTTGCTGCAGCAAAAGGCGATTCAGTCATTGTGACTGTAAGTATCGACTTAGATACAAGTCAGAGGTTCAAACGCATGTGGCACTTTATTTTAGATGTGTAATAGCACAAAAAATGTTGGAATGAATCCATGTGTAAATGTCTGTTTACCAGTTCGTTATGTGTTGCATTGCTTTAGTTTGCTAAAGTAAAATACCTTGAAGTTTGTGGTTGTAATTTAGCAAAATGTGGAAAAGTTTAAAAGTTATGGATACTTTTGCAAGGCACTGTGCTTTTATTTTGTTTTTTTTTTACTGTAACTTTTATTTGTGTAAATTAATCAGTTGAATTAACACCTGCTCTGTTTGAACTACAGCGAAACAAAACATTTTTATTTATTGGTCTGACTGTAATAATAACACTTTTTTATAATTTTATTATTCAGTTTTCTTTTTTTTTTCTTTCTTTCTTTTTTTTTTTTGACTTTCACTCTTTTGGAGCCAAAGTTGTCCAGAAAATAACAATTGAGTATCTTCTTTAGATATATTGGCCCAATACATCTCTTAATAGACTTTTATAAAGAAATTCAGGACATTGGTGCCTCTAAGCCTTAAATTGGTTTTGATTTCTGGATGCGATCAGCTGAACACAAATTCGGAAACAATTTGACAAAGATTTAGAAGTTCTTTATAAAACTCCCTCTATTTGATATATATCCATATTTATATGCATATATAGCTGAGTATGCATGCATGGACTACCCTGGTCATATGTGCATACTTGTCTGTGTTTCGTCATGACATGAGCTTCCTCTGTCTGTCATTTTTGTCATGCCATTTTCATTTATAGCTGCCATCCATGGGCCATTCTTCAGAGGAATACCATTTTTGTTTTGTCTGTTCTGGATGTAGAATAGAGTGGAAGTTTAAATTAGCTACGACTAAAAGACAAACCAAATCTACCAAATTTTGATAGGTGTTTTCCTGACTGTGGAATGTCCCAAAGCTCCACCAGATATGGCTCCATAAACGATTTAGCAAGTCTTCTTTGATTTATGTTATGTATTCCTTCAGTCTTTATGATTTTCCAGTGTCTTTTAATTGGGTTTTTTCTAATGCTGAGTTATTATTTTTTTTCTTTAATGATTTTGTCTATAAAATAGGTTTTGGTTTGTATTTAGGTGTCTCTGATAAGCCTGGTTGCAAATTCACTGGGATATTCGGACTTCTCTGCCATCAAGTCACTGCGAACCCTGCGGGCCTTGAGGCCTCTCAGAGCGCTGTCCAGATTTGAGGGCATGAGGGTAAGAGACTAATGTGCATGTCTGCCACTGTTGATGTCTTTGTGAAGGAAATGCTGTTCTGTTGAATGCTGATTCAACTTCTATCCTCAACCGTAGATCAAGTATGGAAATTCTTAGTTGAATCACAAGAGCTTGAACTAAGTAAAAGTATGAAACTACATGTTGGTTCCCCATGTTTTAATCAGAATAATTAGCCTGTAATTTATACGCTTGTAGGGGTTTCTCTGGATTCCTGTTCTGATCAAATTACATGTTGGTTCTTCACATTTGATTCTATACGATCTGAAGCAGTAGCTCCAGCAAGGAGCTGAAGAGAAAATAAGTTTGGATGACTACGTATCAGCTCTTCTTGTCTTTGACCCTCCAGGTGGTGGTGAATGCCCTCATAGGAGCCATCCCCTCCATCATGAACGTGCTTCTCGTGTGTCTCATCTTCTGGCTCATCTTCAGCATCATGGGAGTCAACCTGTTCGCCGGCAAGTTCGGGAAGTGCGTGAACAGAACGGGCTTCATCCACAGCGTCTCTGTGGTCAACAACAAGTCCGACTGTCTCGCCATGAATGACACGCAGTTCTACTGGACAAAGGTGAAGGTCAACTTTGACAATGTTGGACTTGGCTACCTTTCCCTTCTGCAAGTGGTGAGTTTCTCTCTGCTGTCAGAATGTAGTTGTTGTTTTTTTCCTTAATGTTAATATTAATTAGGTTTATTGCAGTCAGGAAAAAACAATTTCTCACATCGTAACACATATTGGTGTAGTTTTGAATCAACTGATATGGATTTATTTATAGGTTTTAAATAGCTCTGTCAGCAGCGCAGCTCAGAAAAACATTTAGATGATGAACAATTTGATGATGAACAAATTGTTCTGCTTTCAGGCGACGTTTAAAGGATGGATGGAAATCATGAACGCCGCCGTTGATTCAAGAGGAGTAAGTGTTTGCGCCTCTGTTCAGGCTGTGAATGTTTTTCTTTTCAGCAAACAGTTCACTGACGAAACCATTTGCAGGTGGAGGAGCAGCCCAGCAGAGAAATCAACCTCTACATGTACCTCTACTTCGTTGTCTTCATCATATTCGGCTCTTTTTTCACCCTCAACCTTTTCATCGGGGTCATCATTGACAATTTCAATCAGCAGAAGAGAAAGATAAGTATTTAAAGCACCGTTGTTGTCAAGTTTGGATTGAGGGTTTTTTTTTTCTTTAACCTATAAATGAAACATCAGCACCTGCCATTTTCAAACAAGTTCTCGCTCTTTTATGAGTGAAAAGCAAAAATGCAGAAATAGAACTGCACGATTTTATAAAATAAGGTGATGGCGACACCAATGGCAACAAATACACCCATCTTTCACTGTACTTTTAACACTCTTTGTGACGTTTGGCCTCTTGGGCACTGTAATCTGTTCTAGTGAAGGTGAGTATCACATTGGCATGCAAAGGAGTGAACTTATTGCACTTCAAGCAGATTTCAACTCTGGAAACATTCGTATTGTGATTATTATTATCGATATGTTATGCGGCTTTACTAAGGAGTCCACGCAGCTTCGTTCCAAGGTTGAACCACACGATGATTTGAAATGGAAAACTGAAAAAAAACAAAAGTGAATGGACAACGAGGCTCTAAGGAGAAATTTCTTCGGTATTCTCATTAAATGTGAGCCCTTCTGTTTAAAAGCTAGAGCTCGACCTCTACTGGATCAAGAACAGAACGACTTTGTTGTAACGTCTTACTCAAACTGTGGTGCTGCCTTAAGACAGCTGCGCATTAAGCCTGGAAACCTCCATGAACCGAGGCGACGTTGTGAAAAAGATCAGATCCTCCACAGTTATGCCAAAGACAGGAAACGGTTCCTCTGTTACCTCTGCGAAAGTACCAGCTACTTTCCCATGACTCTAAGCTGCCTCAACTCTGGTTCTGCCTGTAAAAAGTTCCCATATCTACTAAAAGACAATGAATACATCAATTTTGAAAACATTTTTTTGCTCTCTTTTCACATGTGAAAATGAGATGAATGTAATCGTAATGTGATCTTTTGGTTTTGCACTTAGGTGGACAGGATATTTTCATGACCGAGGAACAAAAGAAGTACTACAATGCAATGAAAAAGTTGGGTTCTAAGAAACCTCAAAAGCCAATACCAAGGCCTGCGGTAAAACACACGTCACAGCGCCCATCCCTCTGCATTTCCTTTGTACTTATGAATTGCTCTTCTGATGGAAGATTGTGGTTTCACCAACTGAGGGTTTGTGTTCTCCAATTCCAGAACATTCTCCAAGCCTTCTTCTTCGACCTGGTGTCCAAGCAAGCCTTCGACATCATGATCATGATGCTCATCATCGTCAACATGGTGACCATGATGGTGGAAACCGACGAGCAGTCGGAGCGAATGGAGTCTGTTCTCAACATCATCAACCTGGTCTTCATCGTCATCTTCACAACCGAATGCCTGATTAAGCTCTTTGCTCTCCGTTGTTACTTCTTCACTGTTGCATGGAACATTTTTGACTTTGTGGTCATCGTTCTCTCTATAATTGGTAAGGATCATCTTATATTGAAGGCAACTTCAACTTTTAGTAGACGGGCATTACTCAGTGTGTTGATACCTTTCCATGGCCAACTCTATAAGGCTCTGACCTGCAGATAGCAACTTTCCTTTTGATGAACAATTTTTTGTTTCCCCCGCAATTTTCTGCTATATTATATTCTCGTCCAAACTGTTCCAAGGTTGAATAGCTGTCTCTCTCTGCAATGCTGCAGATCAACAAATAGACGGAGCAGAGACGTCGGTGCTAATAATTTAAACCAAGAAAATTACTGTACATCTCATTAAGTCCTTTGCTACACAGAATACAGCTCACCAGCTTACTAATTTCATTTCACACCTCAAAATGTATTAGCACCATATATCACAAAAATACATGAAATATTTTCCCAAATATTGACATTAAATATTAGCAAGGTTTTAAAACAATGACAACATTACAGAAGAGTTGGCATTAGTATCTTTTTAGCCTTTATTGTGATAGGCATAATTAGCACTGTTAGCTACTGTCAGTCTTTGTGTATATTTCTTGTGGAGTTAGTAGATCGTTATCTTAAATGTAACATTTTCAAATATTCTTTATAGTCCAGTCTGTTCTCTGAAAAATAGGACTCAGCCTTTCAAAGTATAAAGTAGAGAGACTTTACTGTAATACATGCAGCCAGCTTCTTTTTTTTTATCAACAACTCCCACATCTAATAACGTTGGGTTAGAACAACCTGCTTGGTCAGTAAACACGGAAGAGTTTAAAAAAGATGCGACTACTAGTTTCTGACTAGTTGATCACAGATCGACGGCGATCATAATTCTGGCTGTTGCTATTTGTATGTCTGTTATTAATTCATTGTTGGAAAAAAATACAAATACACAACTTATCTAATCTGTTCTCATTTGGTTTTCCTCTCAATTCAGGGATTGTCCTCGCTGATATCATTGAGAAGTACTTTGTGTCTCCAACGCTGTTTCGAGTCATCAGACTGGCCAGGATAGGACGTGTACTTCGACTTATCCGTGCGGCCAAAGGAATAAGGACTTTACTGTTTGCCTTAATGATGTCCATGCCAGCACTGTTCAACATTGGCCTCCTGCTTTTTCTCGTAATGTTCATCTACGCCATCTTTGGCATGGCGAACTTTGCCTACGTGAAGAAGCAAGATGGGATCGATGACATGTTTAACTTTGAGACCTTTGGGAACAGTATCATCTGCCTTTTTCAGATCAGCACCTCAGCAGGCTGGGACAACCTCCTGAGCCCCATAATGTCAAGCCCCCCAGAGGAGTGTGACGTCAACTTTGTCAACACTGGCACCAACGCCCGCGGAAACTGCGGGAACCCGTCGGTGGGCATCGCTTTCTTCGTGAGCTACATCATCATTTCCTTTCTCATCGTGGTAAATATGTACATAGCCATCATCCTGGAGAACTTCAGCGTCGCCACCGAGGAGAGCACAGAACCTCTGAGCGAGGATGACTTCGAAATGTTCTACGAGGTCTGGGAGAAGTTCGACTCCGAGGCCACGCAGTTCATAGAGTTCTCGATGCTGGAGAGATTTGCCGATGCGTTGTCGGAGCCGTTGCGGATCGCGAAGCCCAACAAGATCCAGCTGATCTCCATGGACCTTCCTATGGTGAGCGGGGACAAGATCCACTGCCTGGACATCTTGTTTGCGTTCACAAAACGCGTACTGGGGGAGTCGGGTGACATGGACACCCTCAAACAGCAGATGGAGGAGAAGTTCATGATGACCAACCCATCTAATGTCTCCCACGAGCCCATCACTTCCACGCTGCGCCACAAAATGGAGGAGGTGTCTGCGGTCGTCATCCAGAGATGCTACCGGAGGCATCTGGTGCGGCGGCAAATGAAGCAGGCGTCTTACCTCTACAGACAAATCAACTACGAGACGGCGGTGGATGTGGACAACGCTCCAGAGACGGAGGGGCTCATAGCTTCCATGATCCACCACTTCGCTCCTGTAGCGATACAAGTCGAACAGGCGGCGGAGGACTCGCTGCTGTCCTCGCCGCCATCTTACGATAGCGTGACTTGGGGGGCCGGCGTAAGCCCCTCTGCTACAGTCAGAACCGCATCCAGAGGCCCTGAAGCCAGGGACCCGACTGAAAACTATGAGGAGACATTCCTTTGAGACTGCATCGAATTGGTTGAGCAATAATTCAATTCCATTTTTTCTAATGGTTTTATAAGACGCAGAGGATATATGCAATTTTTTTAAAAGTACAGTGGCTCACAGGCTCCATTTTAGTAGAAAGACAATCCTGAGTTAATGTAACCTTCACATCGACAGTAGGTTCTATAGTTAATATTTTTCAAAACGCCTCTGGGAAAGTTGTAGGGATGTCTTTGGTTAATCTTACGGTGATATGAGGGTCAGTATTTAAATTCCAAACTATGTCAGAACAGTGAACCACCCCATGCGCAGTTTTTACATGCAAGTCCCATTCTACTGTTTTATACTCTACAGAATAACTTATCTGCACTTTAATCAAAACTCTGGACGGTCATGTTGTTGATTGTATTAAAAAGTAAGTTCTTTAATTAATGGCAGTCCTCCCATTCATTTGGCGCTCACAGAGCTGAGATATTAGAGCATTTTCAATGCAAAGCGCTTTATGGTGCGTTTCTCCATTTTGTTCACATCTCCGTTGTTCGGTTGCCTTCTCCTTGGTTGCTGTGACTTGTATGAGATCCAAAAATGTTTCAAGCTTTCGAGCACATCTGTATCAGCTAAGCGTAAATGCTTTGTCAAAAAATACGCGTCGTGATCAAGTTCGCGTTTGCATCTCTACATTTTTTTTTCTCAGATTTCTCACACCTTTGTGCATCAGTAGAATGTAGTTTTCATCTCTGAGCAGAAGATTTCACACAAGTCTAGACAAAAGCTGTAAAATTATCTAGGATCACCCTTTAAGTCTACTGAAATTATTTTTGTATGGCAAGTTTGATTTACTTTTTGATGAATTAATTTTATTCAGGGTCTGGTCAGAGACACTGTGCAAAAAAAAAAAAAGATAACGGCCTTTAAGCGTTTTTTTTATTATTTATAATTACAAAGAAAATGACGAGAAAAATGATTTGGCTAGTAGTTTGTATCAATCTTTCCACAGATCTCAGATCAGACAATATCCAACATTTTCAAACCAGTCTGGACCAATAGCCGCTTCCACATGTAGAGACTGTGCCTGCAGTGCAAGTGTATTCAAACCCCCCTAAAAACAAATGAAAGAGTTAAACCTACACCTTTTAACTTTTCTGCAACAAAATAACACAATGTAGCATCTAATTGTAAAGAGAAAGGAAAGAGATGTCTTTATTTTCGTTCAGTCCTTAAATCTAACATTTGTTGACTTATCTAATGCTGCAATGGCAGCTTCCTGTCTTTCTCACGTCTACCAGGTTTCCATCCTGCATTTGAACATCATTTAGCTTCTCCTGTCAGAAAAGATGGACACATCCGACTTTCCTGAGCTACTTTGTGTTGCTCAATCGTGTCATAAAACCAGATCAAATATATTTTCGTCTGTGATTGTGGCCGTTTCATACTTCACCTGGAAACCCAAATGTATACTCTGGACATCAAAAGTCAAAACAGGCTCATAAGAGAAGCAGGAACAGAATGAAGTGGTGTAAGGATTCAAGGATTTTTTTATTTCATTTTTTTGTCACACTACCTTGCTTGTTTTGTTGCGAAATTCAAACTCAGGTCCCAGATTAAGAAATTTACTATAAAACCCCAAACAGATTAATTTCTGTTAAATGAAAAAGTAAGGCTAGTATTTAATAATCTACACAATACAACGCCATCAATATCAAGCAACCTTTAAATCCAAACAGTACCGTGAAGATTGCTCAAATTGTTTCTACTGTTTTTAATATGGGGTACAAAGGCAAAAGCCTTTAAATATTATCTGATATTATCTGATTCCAGCCAATGTTTAGAGTTGACTAATGTCGACTTAATGGTATCATTTTAGTAAAATTAGATAATTGTTCCACGATAAAGTTTAATAATTTATGTTAAGGCTAAACAGATGGATATTTATCAATAAATAAAATTCTTTTCTAGAATTTCAGATTTGACATATGCAGTTGATCTATTGTTTTCAGCTCTAAGAAATATTATTTATTTAGGTTATTTTGTTAACTTCAAAAATATACAAAAAATGATGGTTGTTGTTTTTTTTTCCTTCTTCGGACTGGAAAAAGAAGCACAATCCTAGCTGTGTAGTCATCATGCGTACATCGGAGAACGGTGAATTTTGTGATATTTACCACATCGATAAGCGAAGGAGTGTCTGCTGTTAGGCAGGGTCGCGTGTGCTGACGACCCCTGATTCATGTGCCTGATTTTGACCGCTGCCCACGCACTCCTCTGGATCTCTTTAGACTGCTTTATTTGATCAGATGGGTGTGGATTTTTGGAGTGAAGTGAATGCACTGGAAGCAAATTTTTATAAGCTTGTGAAGAGGTTTATGGATAATTTCTAGCTTTTTGTTTTTTTTTTTTTGTAATGTGTTTCTAATAAAAAAAATTACAAAAAAAAACGGTGGTTCATTATGAGCATACCTAGGTACAATCAGATGACGTAAAAAATAAAATAAAACTAGGCTCTCTCTTTTTTTGTATGCAATATTTTATCCTTCAGAAGATGATTGTCTGTATCGCATTCATGAGAAGTTATTCATGGATTGTTTTAATCGGTTGTAATAAAACTCTTTTCTCATATTTGCGGCCCGTGAGTAAATGTTGACGACCTTTTTCTCTCTTTAGGACCTCATCCGCCGATGAAAAAAAATAATAAATACATTTAAGTTTCTAGGGCTCTCAGGTTTTTAGTTTAAAAAAAAGGAAAATTTCAACAAGGTTGCCAATTTGGATTTAGCCCTGAAGAGATTTCCTCTCTCTGGTTATCAGGGGGATGGGGGGTCAGATCCGACTCTGACCAGCTGGGACAGCAGGATAATCTGTATGTTAAAAAAAATCACTTGTTTTAATTACACACTCGCATAAACACACAAACACAAAGACTGCCTTTTTTTCTCCCATCCTTCTCTCTCACTTACACACACTTATACATACAGTCTCCGCATGCCATCGTATGCATATACAAATCGACCACATGTGCTCTTTGCAAGTCATCCCCTTAATTACGCAAAATTTAATTCGGATCCGTGCATAAACTGACCGAATGTGCCTCGGTAATTGATCAGATTCTTTTTTTTTTTTAAGCGTTTGTACATGTGGAGGAGATTAAAGCTTCGTCTGTATGGGAAATAATTTTTTTTAAAGATTAGAAAGGCACTATGTCTAATTACAAAATGTAACAGCATGCAGTGAAACACAGCAATGTCACTGTAATGAGTTTGCACATCAGCAGTGCACATGGCGAGCAGGCCAACATGAATGACTTTCAGCGAACTGCTATTCGTTCTGCTTAATTTGAAATGTTGTGTGTGACACTGTTCAGTGGACAGTTTGGGAGTATTTATTTATTTATTTTCTTGTTATTATTAGGAATTATTTGACAATAACGCGTCTCGGTTTATCTCATAAACCAAATGGTGACAACATTATTTTGGTTCTTTGTTTCATTCATTTTGTTTCCTGACAAAATGAATGAAGCCTCTGGACAGCCTGTGTATCAACCTGTTAAATCCTGTAAGAAAAAGACATTTTTGAGCAGCAGTGAGGAAGACACCACCCCACAGCATCACACCGCCTCCACCAAAAGAATTGCTGCTGACAGAGAGGATGACATCGATAGAGAAGATTGGGCAGGTTGTATGTGGGAGCAGCTCGCATTCAGGTGCAACTCTGTTAATATTTCCTTTTCTGGTAACCCTTTGAAACAGATCGGTCCTTTTGGAACAGTATAGATGTGGCTAGAGTATCCAAAAATTGTACTCAAATAAAAGCAACATTACTTTAGCATATTTTTACTCAAATAAAAGTAAAAAAGTAGCCATCCCAGAAATTTTTGTATATATATATATATATATACATTGAAATTTCTGGGATGGCTACTTTTTTACTTTTATTTGAGTAAAAATATGCTAAAGTAATGTTGCTTTTATTTGAGTATGTATATATATATATATATATATATATATATATATATATATATATATATATATATATATATATATATATATATATATATACATGTATATATGTGTATATATATATATATATATATATATATATATATATATATATATATATATATATATATATATATATATATATATATATATATATATATATATATATATATAAAAGGGGTTGACATTAAATCCTAAAACAGATAATAGATAAAGTTACGAGGCCATAAAAGCCTAAAAATTTAATGACGAAGAAAAAAATCAGACAGAGCCTTTTAGGTGCAGTCGTTCTCCTGTCTACCAGCCTGCAGCACAGGGATTTACTTAGTCATGGTGGCTATCAGTGCCCAGATGGCCTGATGATGCTCTATCTAATTACTTGTCCCACGAATCCTCTGTTAAGGATAAGTGCTCTCTGAGGCCATGGCTTTTCCAGTTCCTGCACCACAACCGCGTGGACACTCCACAGATTGCAGCTACAGATCATTTTCCAGGGTTCCTGCTCAAGCTGGAAACTACAGAAGGCAGAACTGAAGTGTGAATGAGAACAGACCTGCATCTTTGTCTCATAGTCTAATTTATCCGTCTGTAATTCAGTAAATTACCTTAAGTTTGTGGTTCACAAGTCCCTGCAAACTGTAACCAACAAAAGAAGACACCAAAACTGTAAAATGTGGTTCTTTGTGGGGGAGAGCTCTTCTCTCCTAATATTAACCTCTCGATTGGAGCAGTGGCTGTTTTCATCATTTTCTCAAAACCTGCGTCATCCAGTTCTTGTTTACACTCTCGGACGGTTGCTGTTTGTGGGAAGTGGCGAACTCTTACGAACGTTTTCCTCGTGTTGAACCCTTCATGGCAGAGTCCAACCTGTACTGACATACGAGGATTACTGCACAAAAGCAAATCACAATTTCATCAAATGTGGCAGCGGCAGCTTCCAGTTTGCAAGGGAAAAGTTTCAGTGCCGGTGTGTTCGCAAGGGTCAAAGGTTTCACCGTTTGTGTGTGTGTGTGTGTGGGGGGTGAGTGGAAGGTGAGAGAATGGTTTCAGTGTACTGTGGATATGTTTCTCTGTGGCAGCCAATTTGAACGTACACATAAGAACTAAAAGTTGCAGTTCTGGCATTAATCTTAGCCAGCTTTTATGGCTTTCTCGGCCCAGAGAAAGGCCGTGCAAGCCATTCACATCTTACAGCAGCCATGAAGCAGTGAAGACCGTTTGATGAAGGAATAAGAATTAAAACATGAAACAAGGCCGACAAAAATATACCAATCAAGTCCTCCAATGAACTCTGATGTCACCAGATTCATGTTTGTGTACAGCTCGTTTTCTGCAGGCCACATTTTTAGCTCGACTCAATAATATTTCAAGCAGAGCAAATAGAAAAACTGATCACGACATGTTTTGTGCGTGAGAATAGATCATGTGTGTTTTAAAAATATCTGCTTGTTACAAATTGCTTGCTCGCCCTACTGAAATTTGTGTTTAAAACGGAATTTTAAGCACTGAATAAATTAAAGCAAAATTCATTTGCCATATTTTAACCTGTAACAACAAAACTAAATGTACCTCGAAATTATTAAAATGTTATCTGCTCCGATCATATTTTCTAAAATACCTGTACTGTACTATTTAAATAATGGCAATTTTGATTTATTTCAATTCCAAACATTTACCATACGTGAATAAAACATTTCATCCTGTGTCGCTCGGTGTTCTCTTTCAGTCGTCCCGGAAAGCTGTGTCTACCATTTTGACCGAGATAGTGTTCTCAGCCGGACCGCCCCGTAAAGCAAAACGAGCGCCACTCCTCCAGCCAACGCTCTCTTTGATGAACTGCGTGTTTCAGGAAGAAGTTGGCGCCTGACGCTGCGTAATCGGGTAGCTAGCACGCTAACCGCAACTATGATAGAGCATCTCTTGTGTTGATTTTTCTCTTTGGTGTAACGAAATAAATACAAAATGAATGATATGGGTAAGTATTACCTTTTGCAATTCAGAAATATTCGCTGCTTTTGTCTCCTTTGTGTGTAGCCGAGTTAGCTAAACCGCAGGATGAGGCGAGGTTTAGCAGGCCTCGACTAATCTCTGGAACAAAAATTGTTTTGCTGCTGCAATGATCCGATTTGGCCAGAGCGCTCGCGGCCTTGAAGCTAGCGTGTTAGCATTAGCTAATGCGTCATTCTGGGCACAAACCACCACACCGCTTTACAGACTTGAATGTTTTTTTTGTTTGTTTTTTTCCGCTTACGAACCTCTGCACAACTTTGGTTCTTCGACGACCCTTTGAAACCATTTGTTAATTTCAGTGGCGTCGACAAACTTTTAATGAACCAGTTAGCGGCCCGCAAATCGCACTTGAAACAGCTGGAAAGCAGAAATGCAACTACAGAGCCTGGGCTTAAACTGTGCAACGTTGTCTATGCAAAATCAGAGTGTTTTATTGCTTTTGAAAGTTTGCATTAAATGAGACAGGAGGCTCGAAACTGCACGGAAACCTCGGAATAAAGTCACTATTTTAGAAAAGCTTAAATTGGGGTTGAGCGACGGTGGGAAAAAAAACTGTTGATTTGACACTGTGACCTGCACATGTGACCATCTGACCACATGTCCAAAGACCCATCTTCTTAAAACTGCAGCATAAGCTGCCATCTCTGTTGAATTAAGTGAACGTTTCCAAGCAGACGCCCTTTTCAGGAACAAAAGATGCAACTCAGTGATCTGTGCATTTTAGTTTTAATCCTGTTGTTAAGTTTGTTTATGTGAGTCTACTTTTCTCCTTGAAGAATTCAGTGTCCCCCTGTCCTCGCTGGCGCTCCTCGTCCCACCGCTCCGTCTGATGTCGGCGGTGATGTGGGAAGTTGTCCGGCAGCGAAACATAAAACACTATGGCAAACTGGAGGAATTTGTTTCCATGGTGACTGATGCGGTCCCTGAGCTCATGAGCAAACGAGAGGGGAGACTGTTGTCCTTGGGCCTCAGAGCAAGGGTAAGTGAAATGTTAGGCTGCACCTTACAATGCATATCGAAGAGCGCTCCAACAGGAATCTCACAAACTGTATTTACTTCAGACAACTCTTGAGCTGTTGCGTTCTGAACACCCGGAAGATCTCAAGGCTGTCGAGACTCATCTTAACCGAATCCGATCTTCTTGCCTAGAAGAGGTAAGGGATGCCCTTAAAGTTCTTCTTATTAGTCTACTAATAAGAAGAATATTAGTATAAGCATTGGTCACTAATATTATTAATATTAGTTTTGCACAAATGGTAACTTATATTTAGCTTTATGGTATGAGTATGATGCTTTCCTCTTAGTATTTCAGTAATGCAGATTTTGTCTTAATATACTTTTTATTATTATAATGAAGATCATTGACCATTTCCTTACCAAACAACCGTAGAATAATTTGGCAAGAAGGAAAATTATATTTTAGTCGAAACGCATACAGATATCGGTTGTTAAGTTTATGTACAGAGATATGTTAAACAATAACGACTGATACCGATGTTAATGCCAATATTTTGTGGATTACTAGTTTTTATAGCTGATCTATGATCTGTTTTGTCCTCCAGACGAATGATCCTGTAATTGAAG